AAGTTAATTAAAAATTAAATTATTTAGTTTATAAAAACTATTTACAGTTCCGTCATATATTTTTTCAAAGTCAGATTTAATTAATATTTTAGTAAGAAAATGCTATACAAAGACTAGAACCTTTTATTGTTACAAAAAAAAAAATATTTTCAGTTTAAAAATGGAAATTTTACATAGCCGAATTAATTGAATTTAAATGATAAAAATAAAAAAAATAAAAACAACATAACTGACTCTTGATATTGCCGAATCAACAAGACGTCGCCACCTCCCACACATCGCATCAATCAATGGCTTTATTGAGAGAACACTTCGGTGAGCAGATAATTTTACGTTTTGGGCCGGTCGATTGGCCAACAAGATCGTGTGATGTCACACCGTTAGAAATTTGCTGTATGGATATGTAAAGTCTAAAGCCAGACAATCCCGACTCGATTCAGGTCTTGGAGCAAAATATCACATCAATAACGCAAAAGTTTGTAGACTTATAAAACCGACCCCTATTCGAAGTTTTTATTAGCATTGCTAATTAATTCTAAAAAGAAACCTCAAAAAAGCTGGCTGTAGGTAAATTAAAAGGCGTATCGTGTAAAATCTTATGAAAGTGTTATTTAGCATTTCATTCCAAAGTGAACCAGCAAAGTGGAATGTTCTAAAAGTCTAAGTGTTACAAAGAATAGAACAAAAATACTAGAAATAATAACATCAAAACTTCACAAGCCAACAACATACTCTAACTTTGTCATGTTCATAATTAGAGCTTTAATTTTAGTATCGGCTTTATTCGCGTTCGAAACAAATGAATTTGTGCAGGCGAAATGGTGGCTTTCATATTTGCCGCCGAGTCATTTAAAATTTTACGAGGCCGCTATGAAGTTGAGCTTGAATAATACATTGACAGCTGTAAATGCAAATTCCGCAACAATTAAACCAGCTGCGGCTGCAACAACTAGTGTTCCGGCAAATATATCAGGTAAAGTAAAGAATTTTATAAAATATTTTTTCTAGAGTTGCATCCCCATTTCACAATTATAGAGCTCGTAATGGCTGCGGTATTAACAGCTTCCGCTCCAAACATTGACACCAGTTTGCGTCCATCAGAAGTTCAGCCAATTGCAGATCCTCTAAATAACTTGACAGCACTGACATCGTCAACTGGGAATTACTACATTTTTAACTATTTCTTCTCTAAAAATGAAACCGTTGAGGCAAACAAAGAGAACGCACCAGTTGATAAAGAACACACAAACGCTAAAGTTGATAATGATATGAAATACAGGTTAGTGTTTTTAGAATTAGGATTTTCTTTATTACCTGCTTGAAAGCTAAATCTAATAAAAAAAAAAAATAAAAAAAATTAAACTAAGGTGAGTCTGAAATGAACTCCAATTTCCTGATTATTATTTCAGAGAATGCGGCAATTTCGGCCATGTTAAGAATGATGTTCGTGTTGAGCTGGCTGCTCGAAATGTCTAAAACTCAGACTTCTTTCTTTGCATTAGCACCAGCAGCCGGAATTGCTGCCTCTGAAGTAGTTGGAAGTTTTCTGAGGTCCTTAACGAATTTTTCTTTGGTAATAGTAGACCTCAAGGGCCAAGTTTATAACAAATCGGACTGGACTTTCCCTCAGTATTAACTGTAGTTTTGAAGAGCGCATGAGTTCGGAAACATATAAATATATCGTTTTTAGCGGATAAAATTTTCGTTCTTGAATGTGTTGGTTTTCTAGTTACCCACTTATTCATTGAGTTTTGAAATAATAATCAATAACATTGGGTAGTCGCAAAAATCTTTTCGTATTTTGTCAATCACATTGTGTCATACCAGTTTCCTCGCTTTCTTTCTGGAAATTTCGTTGTGAAAGCTGCAATTCGCCCTGGTCGACCTATTGTTGACAAAGTCGATGAAATTGTGGAAAAGATTGACCAGGACCATCACTTAAGCAGCCATGACATTGTTCCTTAGCATTCATCATCAAATGGTTATGAATCATTTCAAAAAGGCTGGCTACAAAAGAAGCTTGCATTGGGGTATCACATGAATTGTCTGTGGAAAATTTAATGGACCAAATTAAGATCTGCGATTCTTTGCTAAAACGAAATGAAATCGATCCATTTCTGAAGCGCATGTAACAGGAGATGAAAAGTGGATCAAATACGAGAATAATGTGTGAAAAAGATCATGGTCCAAGCGTGGAAAAGCTCAAGAAATGGTGACAAGGCCAGGATTTACGCCTCGAAAGGTTATGCTGAGTGTTTGGTGGGATTGGAAAGTAATCATCCACCATGAGCTGATTCAGCCTAGTCGAACGATTGATCTGACATTTTACTGTCAGGAACTGATGAGATTGAAGCAAGCAATCGGAACAAAACTGCCAAAACTGTTCAACAGATAAGGCATCGTCTTTCATCACAAGAACGCACATGTTTGATGACTCGGCAAAACTTGGGAGAGCTTGGCTGAAAAGATTTGATGCATCCACCATATAGCCCTCAGCTTGCACCATCAGACTACCATTTGCTTCGGTCAATGCAGAACTACCTTAATGGAGTAAAGTTGGCTTCAAGAGAAGCATGTGAAAATTACTTGTGGCAATTTTTTTCCGAGAAACCAGGGAAAGTTTTAAACTGGTGGAATAATGTCTCCAGCGGAAAAGTGGCAAAAAGTGGTCGACCAAAATTGTATTTACATATTTGCTTCATTAAAGTTCATTACAAAAAAAAAAAAAAAAAAAAATGAGGTTTGATTCGAAATACGAAAAGACTATCCAATATGATTTTATAATCTGAGGATCATGATCGTCGTTATTCCCAGCATCTCGGAAGCCCTAATTTTCGAAATCTAACAAGTTCTCCCTTCTACTACTGAACTCAAAGCTTTACTATTAAATTCGAACTTCTGTCGGTAGTACGCTTTTATACGGAAATATGGTCTAAGGAGGAAAGGCAAGATTAACACTACTATATGATAAACCTGGTTAGATATGAAATTACTTTAGTTCACGAACTCAAACATTTGACACTTGTGAACCAGGGTATAAAACTCATGCTTTTTAAGTTAGTTCGCTATGCGAAGAACATTTAATAAAATTAAAAGCGCCATTTAAAGGTACTCACTGCAACTTTTAGCAGCTCTTGGATCATAGTATCTTTAAGAAAATAGAATTGTGCTGAAGGCCCTGACTTTATAGAATCAAGCTTAGTGAAAATGCAGGAATTTCCAAAACTGAATATCAACATTTGAAAGACCACTCAATATGATATTAGGTCGCTTATTTGATTGTCTCTTATGACTGGTGGTCTTACCTACTAGACAAAATTTCGTTTTCATTGGCTTTTCAGTGAAGTCACTCTACCATATTCTTTTCAATTTGCCATAAGTAGTTGCAGTTCTCAAATTGTAATGGAATCTACCTAAAGTTATTAACTCTTCCTTATTTTCCTTTTTTTCAGCATCCTACCAGACTGTGCCAACGTTAACACATCCGGTGCCTACTTGGTGCGTGTAGAGTTATACAGTCATCGTCCTTTCATGGTCTATTGTCAAGTTATAGATGACGATGACCACGCCTGGTTGGTAATACAGCAACGTGACTTCGATGATCCACCAATCGACTTCAATCGCACCTGGGCGGATTATCGCGCGGGTTTCGGTGTTATAGATGGCAGTTATTGGTTGGGTTTGGAGAAGATCTGGGCCATAACACACAGCATGTTGCATGAGTTGACCATTTTATTGCTAGATTTTGATAACAAATTTCGTTGGTATCGCTACGGCGCCTTCAGCATTGCGAATGAGGAACAAAACTATGCTTTGAATTTGTTGGGCGCAAATGGTGGATCGGCAGGTAATAGTTTGAAAGAGAGCAAGGGACAAAAGTTCAGCACCTACGACAGGGATAATGAGGAAAAGTGTGCGCAGAAGATGCAAGCTGGTTGGTGGTATAAGGATTGCGAAATCGGGTATGCGATTACCGAACATTTATTTTATTAAACTTTTATTGGAGTGCGAATCAATTTTTTCTTTCTAGAAATCTGAATAGTCCATTCTCTAAGCAATTGACGGCCAAGTATGAGGGTGTTATGTGGCCGACGCTTTATACGGATAAGCCGTTAAGCACCGTGAAAATGATGGTGCGCGCAAAGAAGTACAATAGCAATTAGGCTGCAAAGGCTTAAATAAGAACCCTTTTTACCAATTTTCATACTAAATCCAATAAATGACTCCTTAAAGCTATTAAATTGAAGATAAAAGTAACTCCGTTTTATAAAATTCACAAACCTTACAAGAAAAGTACTTTTATGTCGTCAACTGTTTATCAAATCTACTACTATTTGAGAAAGTAAGTGTTGTTAAAAGTTTCATTGAGCCTTAGAGCCCCTTTAGACGTAACACAATAATTAAAAGAGAGACTTGTCTGAGCGAACCTCGTTTATGCATTCAAATGTACTTCAGACAAATCTATAGACGTTGAGGTGAGAGTCCAAGATTTCGATTACTGTTAAACAAGAAAAAACGTTAGATTTGGTTGCACCAAAGCTAGAATAACCTTCTCAAATAAAAATTCTCCTTATAAGAACTTGTCGGTCAGTTTGTATGGCAACTATAGTGATACGATATCGACAGTTGAGACAAATGATCAGCTTCTTGGGTAGAAAGGAACATCTGCGGCGTTTCTGAACGATATCTCGCTCGATTGATTTCAACCGAGCGGCTAGTTCGAGTGTTCAAAGACAGACAAAAGAGCATGGCTAAACCGACTCAGCTTGTCACGCTGATCATTGTCTATATATGGTTATTTCATACAGTCTCCGACGTTTTTTTCTGCATACTTCGTGGTATACTTAACATACTCAGTTGAGGGTATAAAAATAGGCGATTAGGTGAGTTTGTTGATTTTTCTTCGAAACTCTTTTGCACGAAATAATTATTCCAAAAAATTCCAAATGATTTTCAAAAGGAATAATCAAGAAAGTATGTTTTTCATGGATGGATTTGAACTAATTCATGGAGTTAATAGGGTTAAAATGTGGAAAACTTCGAACACAAACGGAGTTATTTCTAGAAACGTAAAAATAAATCACTCGACAGTGGGCTTTAAAATAAAAGCTCGAGAGGGATGCCAAAGTAAGAGCTTAAACATTATGTTTCGAATTATTGAAGTCATAAGTGAAGCAACAGATCACTATTTTCAGGGATTTAGCTAACCAAAAAGTTTCAAATGTAAAGCCTGACATCAAATGCAAGCGGATGCTTTCCGTAAATCATAAAAAAATCAGCAGTTGAAGACCTCATACTCATCTGTAGTGTCCACTGAGGCACGGATTTCCACCAACAACTTTTATCTCTTACAAATTTACATATAGAACCTACGGGCAGAGCTCGGTGTGTATTGGCGGCTGGCCAAAAATCGACTACACGATCCTACTTTACAACTAGGAAAGAAGGTTCAAAGTAAATATTGAGACAGATGGCTGGCGTAAAGGTATGTTAGCTATGTGTAACACTCTAAATATATATACGGATGGCTCGAAATGGAAAACTGTGAGAATATACTGTCGAGAGTTAGGCATAAGGCCTCAAGCTGAGGTCTTTGTTATTGCGAAAGCCGCGAAACTGGGCTCCAATGCACTTACAGGCAAATCCAGAGTCAACATCTACGTAGACGGCCAAGCAGCAATTAAGCTAGTAATCTCGTATTACATACCGGCCAGAAGTGAAAAACGGTAGATCGGTACACAAAATTCCTATTGGCACTCGATAGAAGAGACTCCAGGAACATTAAGAGAATACTAATGGGTCACTGTCTGGTGGTGACACATGCCCGCAAGATGGGGCTGTCAGAACGGGAAGACTGCAGGGAATATCTAGAGCAGGGCACCAGGGAAACATTGAAATATATCTTATACACTTATCTCGCATTGTCCAGCCTACGTTGTAAGCATCCACGAGACGATACACTGGAGCATGTATCGATAATGAGGCCACAGAATCTGTTAGAATTCGAGTCAAGCGCAGGCATCCTAAGTGAACTCCATGTGATATCGCAAAGGACCAATGTGGTCTATGCGCGGCTTATCGGCCTACCACATTAATCTAACCTAAGTATTCTAGGTACTTTTGGTATTGGTAATTCAAATGGTTCAGTACATTTCGTTTTGAAGTAAGCTTAAGGCAGAACACTTTAGACCTTTCCATTAGACTTCGAATTCTAATTAGGCAGCTTAAAAATGAAATTTTTTTTCTCTGGAGCATAGAAAGGTTTGAGTTTCCATCAAAAAATCTCAATGTATTGAAGTCAAATTGAAATCTTCCTTAGCGCTTTAATGGCGATGAACACATTTGCCTGAAAAGTTCATTGTCTCACCGAGCCACACTCAACGCAGCACAGCAAAACAATTAACGAATTGAAAGCAACCGCTTGCTGTTGTTATGCTCGTAGACTTCTCAAATACTCTGCGGCGGAAAATGCAATTGGCGAGCGATGCTTTACGACGGTTTGTGCTCCTATTTTGCCTAATGGGTGTACATTTCATTTTCGCCAACGACGAGACAAAGCAAATACGAAAAAAGGACGACAGCAAAAATACACGGAGAAGGTAAATCGTGTGCTGTGTACATGTGACAGTCCATTCAAAGAGGCCGTTTTTTACATGCCGTCTTATCCCCTCCCCACATGCGAATATGTCGCTTGAGTTGTTGCTGTAAATTGAAATGACTGAAAAATGTGCAGAATCTCGGGTAGTAGTTGTAGATTTGTGGGGCAACAAAACGGTCGGACAGTTAGCCGTTGAGCGACGAGTTAAAGATGTAGTGCTTTCGAATGAAAATCGGTTCGAGTTGTTTACCTGGAAGATGACGAGCAGAGTGGGCGTAGAGTGGCCTTGGAAACTGCAATTATATTATTGCTTTAGTGGATTCGTACTTCTGTGTAGATACTCTTATATACATGCTTGTATATGGATGTTATGCGTCAGAGCTCAATGTTTGTCCATTTGTATGCACAGAGTTGCATGTCTGAGTGCTGGAATAGGGGCAAGTTGGATATTTTATTAAATTGCGGTATGAGAGCGGGTGATGTACTAACTTTTTGGTTTAAATTTCCTTTAAAACGGAAGTCACGAAGGGTGAATGTTTAGAAAGGAAACTTAAATAGTCTTAACAGTTTAAATTTTATCAACAAAGGATAAGGCTCCACCTTTATTTACAACTTGCCAACACTCGGAAGTTTTGATGAAATCTATATTTTAGTCATCGTTTTTATGAGGAAAACATAATTCATCTCTGAATTGAATGTTAGTTTCTTTGGAAATTGCTAGCCAATGAACGAGGCAGTGTTGGGGAGCTTGAAGATTTCGGTGTATATTTTTGGAAGAGTTTTGTAAGTTAAGTTTTTGAAAGTTTATGAACAGCAATCGATTTAAAATAATGACGTTATCAAGAGACAAAAAAAATTAATGGATATATTTTGAAAAACCCATATACCACTGTGGGCAAGAATTAGTAAGACCTTTTAATTAAAATTTCACGTGAAAACCCATTCGTCGAAATATATTTTTTCTAGGTTGGTATGACTATCAGTGACATTTGTGCCAAATATCACATTAAAATGATTAATAGTGTTTAGTATATAACTTTCTTTCTAAAGTACATAAAGGGCATTCGGTTACTTTTATGATGAGTGAAATTATTAAACAACAAAGTTTCTTACTGGAATCCTTGGCATATCGGAAGGATCAGTGAAAACAATTTTGAAAGTTCATTTGGGCCTAAGAAAAGTAAAACGCTTGCTTTGTACCAAAATCACAAATTTATGCTACGCTTACGACTCAGAAACAGACAAAGGTTGAGCCAAAACCGAAAGAGTCACATCAAGGCTGGTCAAAAATCTAGACTACGTTGACAGTTTTCTTCTATTATCGAAGTGTGGTGAACTCTGAATTCCTTCCGATTGGCCAAATTGGCAACAAGGTATACTATTTGAAGGTTATGCATCACTTGCTAGAAGGTGTTCACAAAAAGCAGATAACTTGATATCGATGATTTGGGCTTGGGTAACGCATAGCATTAGTTCTAGCATAAATAAAACCATTATTTTACCAATAGAAGGTTTCAATAATCTATATTTCATGGCGCCAAGAAGATACGATTTTTTCCTCAAAAAACTTCTCTCACAGCTTTATAATTTCTTGACTCATTTGAGCCAAATTTTCTTTGGCGAAACTGTAAATTAGGCGGCTGAAATGAAAATGCAAAACAAGCAAATAGTTTGGAACCATTTATATAATGCTGAACACAAAAAGAAACTTATGTCACCTGGTTCACATGGTTTAGCGCCGAAAACTCGATCGTGATCGAATCACGATAAGCTGGGCTAACTGAGGCTAAACCAGAAGATATCTTCAGGAAGGTTTTACTATATTTTTGTTAGAATAGACCGAACTCGAATCTGTGCTGTCAACAATTGAACCGTCTGAAGTAAACAATAGTTGAATTCCATGAGCACAGCGTCAAGCCAGCAACATCGAAAATGATTCGCTACAAGCTACTGGATTTTAGTTGGGAGGTTTTTTGATGCATCCCCATTATACTTCAGGCCTGGCAGCAAGTGATTACTACCTTGTATATGGGGAAAGAGTTTACAGGTCGCTTCGGATTACCACGAGTTTAGCTATATTAAATAAAAGCAAGATTGGATTGGCTTATAAGACGCGCATAGAACAGTTTTGGTCCATTGCGTTACCACATGAAGTTTAAGAAATTTTTTATAGAGACCCTGAGAAGTTGTTACCCCTTAAGATGCCAGTGCTTGACGGGAATTTCAATTGCCTTACTATGCATTTTTCTTCCAATATCTCACACGTTGGGCACCCAAATGCATAAAGCTTGAGTTTATTCCTGGTCGAATACTTCTTGTGGCGCCATCGTACTACAATAAAAGCAACGTATCTTCTTTGACCAAATACTGCAACTGTGAAGGTATACCATATATGTATATCATATATACATATGTGTGTAGGCTGTTAGCGAAGTACCTTGTAGGCTAAATACAAATGGCCTTTACCTCTGCACACGTGTCCGTGCATTAGAGAGATTCGCCAATGTTACTCAGCCAAGGACTTTTCCAAAGAAATAACATCAAAACTTTAGACAAACACAGGCGCAAACACACATATATACACATAGACATTCG